AAACGAAGGATTCCTAATCTCTTCCGAGCTTCTTGTCTTTCTTTGTTCATTTTTTTCCAAACGAGACAACCAAAAGCCTGTCTGCCTGCCTGATGTTTTCAGATACTAAATGTCATAACTACAGGTAACGTCCTCCACGGCATCCACGAGATTGTGTGAACATTTCAGTAACTTTTCTTTGATGAGAAGATTTCACACAGAGTTAGATATAAATCTCCCACTAAACATGTCTACCGGAGATAGTGCAGAGTTTACAAGCACCTGTAGGTATTGACGACTCGTTAAAAGATAATGCATGATAGCGTAACAGCAATGTTCTAACTATAATTGTGCAAGCAATGAACTTTTTTTTTTGTCATGAAGGAGATATATACATTTCAGGCTCAATAATTCTTTCTCTGTTGGTTCAGGTATCATCTTTCAGTTGAGCCTCGTCTTGTCATTGTGCCTTGATTGTTAATAATCAACGTCAAAGAGAACGTTAGACAAGCAGGATTTCCCAACATTTTTGCGTCATCTCCCCCTTTCACATAGAAAGATTTTCCACCAACCACCTCCATAGTAAATATTCAAAAGCACGCTAAAATTGATTGGTAAAAGTTTGTTACTGGTTCGTAAACTGATGTTATGATGTGGTAAAAAAAAATATCAAAGGGAGGTAACTAATAACGCTGACTAATGCGGCTGCTGCTGCTACTACAATATTAAAGAACGAAAGGAAACTTGATCATTTTAAAACTGTTGTAGGGAGTTGTTTTCCCTTGGGTTGAGTTCATGGGAGTTTGGACACTTTAGAGAGGAGAACACTTCTGTCACTTTTAGTTCTTGCTTCCGTTATTTTTTTATTTTATTTTTTTTAGGACTGTTCCGTTTTGATTACGAGGAAAGACGTAAAAGACACATTAGAGATGCTACTTGATTTCAGCATGAATAAGAAAGAAAGAAAGAGATAAATAAATAAAGGAAGAGAAGATAAAAGTGTTTCAGTGAGAATAAGAAAGAAAGAAAAGAAAAGAAAGAAAGAAAGAAAGAAAGAAAGAAAGAAAGAAAGAAAGAAAGAAAAGAAAGAAAGAAAGAAAAGAAAAGAAAGAAGAGAAAATAAAAAGGATTTAACGTCTTCTGCCAATACTTTATGAATAATGGATTATTCTGTTTTGACTGCAAGGGAAGACGGAAAAGACATATCAGACACGTTAAAAAAGAAAAGAAAGAAAATAAAAGAAAAAAAAAGAAAGAAGAGAAAATAAAAGGATTTAACGTCTTCTGCCAATACTTTATGAATAATGGATTATTCTGTTTTGACTGCAAGGGAAGACAGAAAAGACATATCAGACACGTTACTTGGTTTCAATGAGAATAAGAAAGAAAGAAAGAAAAGAAAAGAAAGAAAGAAAGAAAGAAAGAAAGAAAGAAAGAAAAGAAAAGAAAAGAAAAGAAAAGAAAGAAAGAAAATAAAATAAAAAGTGTTTAACGTCTAGATAGTGCTTTATTATAATTTTGCTCGTTCCATAATTTGCTTATTTTTATTTCAGAAGAAAGAAAATATTTTAGGAATCATTGTATACATTACTCCCAAAATTAGGGTTATTATTTATACAATGTAAATGGATTTCTAATTATCTTATAATAACTCTGCTTGTTGCTTCGTTGCTTAACACGTACGTTACGCCGTTTCATTAGAAAATCCCAACTAGGAAAACTGTGAAATTTTCAAGGTTATTTCTAGCGATTTTGTAATTCTCCTCGTTCCTTAATTGGCGCATACGTTACACTCTGATAATAGCTAATAAATAATGGACTGTTCGTTTTGATCACGAGGAAAGACGTAAAAGACACATTAGAGATGCTACTTGATTTCAGCAAGAATAAGAAAGAAAGAGATGAATAAATAAAGGAAGAGAAAATAAAAAGGATTTAATGTCTTCTGCCAATACCTCATAAATAATGGACTATTCTGTTTTGACTGCAAGGGAAGACAGAAAAGACATATCAGACAGGTTACTTGGTTTCAATGAGAATAAGAAAGAAAGAAAGAAAGAAAGAAAGAAAGAAAGAAAGAAAGAAAGTGTAGGGAGACCACAGTTGTTTTCCCTTGGGTTGAGCACATAGGAGTTTGGCCCCTTTAGAGAGGAGAACTCTTCTGTCCCATTGAGTTCTTGCTTCCGTTTTTTTTTTTTTTTTTTTTTTGAGGAAAGGCCTCTTTACCTTGCTGGCCACCAGGGCGTCCACACACGTGAAAACTGGTCAACATCTGCACGGCCTAGCCAAAGAAAAAAGTAATTTCTATTCACTTATCTGCGGACGATCAAAGGCCATAAAGTTGGTATGTTATTACTTTGTACTCGTTCTGTAAACCTCCTCGTTCCTTTGGGACAATATGAACAATCAATTGTTTTGGGACATATGTAAATCTTTTTTTAATATATGTATGTAAGTTTGCTTTATTAAATGTTTTTTTTGTTACGCTCGCGTATTTCTTCTTTCTATATTCGCATTCAGTGTTAGTGCATCAATGGCTACGCTAATGCTAATGTTAGTACTCGGTATACTACTGGAAGGCTAAAACATGTTATTCTTCCTGACACAAAATAGTTGGTCAACTCTGTGTGGCCGATAAGCAATACTAATACTGTAATGGTCAAGGTTAGTTTTATGGTTAGGGTTATTGTTGCAAATATATTTATTTGAAGCCATAAAATTGTTCAAAATATATAAATTTTGGCATTAAATAATCCATTGAGATTGATATACCGTGAGACAAAATTAACCAACCAACATGAAAGAATTATTTCATGACATTAACCCATATAATATCTTACAATTTCTCAAAGAAATCAAACTCTATTACAAAATATAACTTCAACAAAACTACAACATAAAACACACATATCACTGTCTTTAATAATCATGTCCACACAAACATCTACAGGGTGCGATGGTTAAATTGTCGCCATATTATATTTTTAATTTCGCGCATGCGTGTTGTTTGTTTTTGATTTTATCGACTACACAGTATAGTGGGATCATTTTGGCACTGTCTGTGAGAAAAGAGAACAATTCACTTCGCCAGAAATTTGGAAACGGCATGCTGTACTACTTGGCATTCGCGACGGAAGATTAAATTGAAATTAAATAAAATAATAATAAATAAAATTAAATAAATAAATTAAATTAAATAAATAAATTAACTAAAATAAAATTAAAACAAATAAAATTAAAATAAATAAAGCTAATAGTAAGAATAGATACCACCCATTGATCCTAGCCAAAAACCAAGAAGCGATTGTATTTACTTGCCGTCCGAAGTTGGCAGGATGCGACAGAAGATCATTTTAATGTGGGTAGCCCGAGTGCATGCACTCGAGCCAGATCCAGAAATACCCCAGCCCTCTACAACCATCGGTTTCGCTGGCGTTAGTAGTACTACCATACAATGAGACAGGTAGTGCCACGGGCAACCGTTTCCAGAGACCGGACGCCTCTCACTAATATTTTCAGTTGTGCTCTGTCCGCAAACAGAGAGAGAAATCAAATGTAGCTTATCAGCCCGAGAGCAGATACTACACTTTTATCCCAGCCAAAACGCCGAGAAGCGATGTTTACTCATTCCCCCACCAGAATGAGATATGACACAAGGTCTTTTTAAAGTGGCGCGTACACTCGGGCAAAGGAGAAAAATTCCCCCCAGCCTCCGCAACCGTTGTTTTCGCTGGCCTCGGTGCGAGCACCAATTCCTCCGTCTGATGCAATGGGAGGGCACGGCCTCGGGCAGCTGTTCCCCAGGGCTGGGCACGTCTTCAGTATAATTTTCCTCAGTTGCCCCTCTGTCCTTTGACAGAGAAGCCCCTGAGCGCACTCTGTCCAAGGACAGAGAGGCAACTGAGAGATGATAAGCCATCTCAGCCAAAAGGCCGAGAAGCGATTTTATTTAATAATGATATAAATTATTTGTGACACTGGGCCGAATGGAGAGTGAGGTTTCGTTTGCTTTGTTTTGTTTGACGGTATATCAACCTCAATGTGTTATTTGATGCCGACAATGTTTTTATTGCTGGCTTTTATTTGCAAGAGATTCCTCCAGAATTCAAATTCATTTCTGTCTCTTATATTACCCGACCTCCTTTCTTGAAGGCTCTGTCTAAAAATATTCGGTGTTTGAACCTAAGAACGCCAGAAAATAATTTTTAAAAATGGAGTATGTTGGCGCCAATGTAGATACTTTATAGCACCACGTATAACTTTATAACATAACGTAAATCTTAATTTCACTGGAGAGTCGCTATGGCCGACCATTCGCCCCCAAAAAGAGGTTTAATGGAGACGATGAAACCATATATCATTATTTAGCCACAGCTGCGTACAAAAGCGGAAATTAATGACAAATGTATCCAACGATTTGCCATTCCAGATAAAGAGATTTATTTATTTATCTATCAGTTGTTTATGTTACCCGTGGCATCACAGTAGGATTTGTTAAACAAATACATCAAGACCACACACGCATAAACAACCAAACACACACATTTAACATAATCTATTGATTTGCTTTATAACTACTCCTTATAAAACTGTTGTGGATTCCGTGAATGGAATCCTGCACAAATAAATAAACAACGCCAGTAATTGAGATAGAAAAATAAGTGTATTAAACGTAAGAAAACAGACTTGAAGTGAAGATTAGTAGTCCAGGAATGCGGGTTAGTAGAAAGTATATGTACAAGTCTCTGTAAGTAAAGTCGTAAACATATATATATATATATATATATATATATATATATATATATATATATCTGAAAACACCCTGTGTCTGTCTCCGTATCTCTCAACCTGTCTCAACAGCAGGTATTCTCTCTGTCAGTATAAGTATACTTTGGACGAGTCCATCTTATGTAAAAAGGGGAGAGCCCCACAACAAAGACTTCAGTTAACAGTTGCATTCCTTTGAGTATAATTTATATATGGTATATATACTAAAAGTTTTGCTTACTCCATTTATTTAA